GTCTTTTCTATTATGTCCAGTGGGTTTGAATATCATTCAGGATATCTTTATAGTTTTCATTCTGTGTTTCAGCCCGTAATGCATATGTAATTTCCTACAGTGCATGCTGTAAAGTAATATTTAACTTTTTTTCTCAAGCAGGTGTTTCATCAGACAATGCTTTAGAGATTCATGGCTTAAAACAGAGCTGGCAAACTATGGCCTGCTGCCTATTTTTGTAAATAGAGTTTTACTGAAACCTGGTCATGCCCATTTACTTACATATTGTACACAGCTGTGACACAGATCACACAGCCTGCAAAATCTAAGATATTTACAATCTGGCCCTTTGCAGGAAGGGTCTGCTGACCCTTGGCTTAAAAACAGTCTTGGCCTACCCACTGTGAAACTCTAAACTGAATCCCTTCTTTAAACAGTTCAAGAAAAAGGGTTCCATTCTGCCAAAGTAACCTGGGAATTCAGTCTGGGCCTAATTCAAAGTTAACAAAGTTTAGACGTAAGCAGGAATTACGGGGCTGGAAGGGTTTCAAAGTCTTTGCTTTAGTGCTTTTCTGAAGGAAAGCAGGGATTATAGCATGAGAGCTCTAGAATCTACCTAATTAAAATACTAGTTTTATTCTACAGCCAGGGTGAAAAGGTCCAAAACAGAGTCAAGCTGCTATTCTGACTGATGAAGACAGAGGTAGAAATAGACTGGGTAGGCCAGGAACAATGGCTCATGCCTGTAATCCCAACACTTCGTGAGGCCAAAGCGGGAGGATCACTTGAGGCCATGAGTTCAAGACCAGCCCAGACAACATAGTGAGACTCTATATCTCTACCAAAAAACCAAAAACAAAACAAGAAATAGACTGGGTAAGAGAAAAGGTCTTCTCGCCGAAGGCCTGGCTCCGGTAAAGGAAGAGAGAGTTTCAGAGCGGAGGGTGAGAAATAAATCAGTGAATTCCAAGCAGTAAGCCACATCTAAAACTGTGGCATGCTCTCTTAGGTTAGCAGAGTGATAAAAGGGGACAAACAGAACAGAGAACACAAAGAATCTTCATTCAATCAAGAGGCTAAAGGAAATAAGCCAACTAATAAGAATGGTTCTTTCTTGGTATTGGGGATTATTGTTAGTATTATTATACTTCTTTATAATATTCTGTATTGAGAGCTGAAGAAAATTTAGATTATAAAACTGGTAAGGAAGGAAAAGAGAGAGAGAGAGAAAGGGGGCAAAAGAAGAGAGAGAAGCAAGTAGTGGCCTGGTTACTTTAAAAGAAATCAAGACAGTTCATGCACAGAAGGTGGAAACTGAATAATTTCAAACTTATAAACATATTTTTAAAATTATCTCTTCATTTTTAATTTCT